AACCTAAATCAGAGCCCATGGCTGGTGGTCAAGATGCGGGAGAGGCCCTCGGGGTCAGCCGAATACCCGAGAGGCAGAACAGGCCCAAAGGTGAGCAGCCTGAGCACATCAGGTGGCCTGGAGCTGGAACGTGAGCCCCACAGCCTGCAGAGCAGCCCTGGATTCAGGAGCCCACTCGCACCAGCCCCATGGGACTTCAGAGATGTGGGGTCCAACCTCCCCTAATGTTGCAGGGCTGGGGGCTGGGAGCTGCAAATTCTGACCCCACAGCTGCTTTAGACATGCCAGATGAGCTGGGGCAAGACACACGTCTCTCTATGAAATGAGCAGTCAGTACAAATAGATACACCATGAAGGGCTGTGGAACAAATCCAGCTGTACCCTGGGGATAGACTGGCTTCCAGGGTACTCAAGCAGCTGGCCTCTGGGGAAGAGGCCCCAGGTATGAGAGGCAGGGCTCAAAATCTAGGCCCAGCCTCCACAGGAACCCCTTCTGGAGAGCTCAGGGCAGTTTGGAGGCACAGGAGGCAGCAGGTGCACTAGGAGCGTGTTTCACAAGGCACCCAATATTGCATCTGCTCAGAGAGGCAGACAGCTGGAAAGTGGATGCAGTAGGCAGGGTGGTGGCTGCTCCCCACGGCCAGGAGTCCAGCCCAGAACCCACCCGAGTCTGCCTCAGTCCTGCTCAATTGAGTCATCCCTGCTCTGGGCCCTCTGGGCCCACCCACAGAGGGAGGGCTTTGGGGCGAACCGGCGAGCTGGCCCTTGCGGAAGGATGTAGCTGATTCCTGAGCCTGGACAGCCAGGCAGTCCCTCACCTGCATCCCCACCCCCCACCTCTCCAGCCCCCTGATTCCCCAATTCTCCCACCTGCTCCCCTGCCCCATCTCGTGCCTCTGCTCACTCTCATCTCTTTTCCTGCTACCAGGCTCGCCTGCTCACATATCCTTGACTCTCTTGTGAGTCTCCCTCTTTCCAAGCCACCTCCTCTGTACTTGACACATTCTCCCTGAAGGCACCAGAGAACACAAGCTTAAGTCCCTGCACCTCACCTTTACTCCCAGGCGTGGGAGGGGGATGACATGAAGACCCAAACACCACTTGGCAAAAGATCTGGAGTATGCAGAGGGGCATAACTGAGGCTGTGGAAGCTCTGGAGGTTCCCTGCAGGAGGCTGCATTTAAGCTGGTCCTTGAATGTGGCTCTGAGCTGAGATATCTTCCTGAAGCTCCAGACCAGGAGCCAGCTGCCAGCTGGACCCTTCCATTTGGTGTCTCAAAGGAAGCTTGCACTCTGCGGTCAAACTCTGAACCCAGAAAATCCCCCCACCTCAGCCCTGTTTCTTCTTAGGGAAACCACCATCTCATACTCAGTTTTGCACCAAACCCACATTTGAGGATGGGGGCTCCTGCCCTGTCCTGCACTGAGTACTCTGGATGCAACAGTGCTGAGGGGGAAAGAGTTCTGAATGCCAAGCCAAACCATGTGAGGCTTAACTCCAACTTTAGCTGTGAGAGCTGTGGGTAGGGAAGGGCCCTAGTTCCGTTTGCTGTAGAAAGACCAGCCTGCCACTGTCTGGAACATGGATGGCAGAGGCAGAGAATGGATGGAGAGATGAGGAGGGCAGGGCTGGCGTGGTACAGACATGGCTGTAGCTGTGGAGATGGGAGGACAGACAGGACTCGGTGGCTACTTGGATGAAGCAAGGGAGGGGTCAGGAAGAGACAGTTTTGTATCAGATGTGTACAGCGTGGGATGCCATCCATTGCTCGAGACAAGAAAAGAGGAAGACCTCTGGCATGGGAGAATATAGATGAGCTCTGTCCTGAATGTCATTTGAAGTTCCCAGGGAGAGTCAGGCCTGCCAGCACATTCACTGCTTCAGCCAGCCCTCGAGGCACCTGTGCTCCCTGGCCCTCTGGGCCCTCTGTTCATAGCTGTCAGCTACAGTGGGGGCAGTTGCACAAGGGCCCAGCAGGTCTGTGTGTTTTTCCAGGGGACTGCCATGTGGCTAAGGCCAAGAAGAAGCTGCTGAACAACCTTCTGAACAAAACCCGTTACCACCACCTGATCTTCCCAGCCACCAGCTCCTCACAGCTCATCTCCATCAAGATGGAGCTCTCCTGGCCCAGCGTGGTAGGTGCAGAGGGCAGCTGTGGCTGACTCAGGTGAAGAGGCAGCTCATGCCCAAGCCCTCAGCAATCATTGGCCAGAGGAATGAAATGACTAGAGTTGACTTAGACTTACCGATACATGGAAGGGAGGCTGCAGGAGGGTCCATGAAGTTTATAGGTGTCCAATATTTAACAAAATCATGGTTTTGTTAACAAAGAAGAAATGAGGGTGGGAGCGGGACGGCCACTGGACGGGCAGCCAATGGGCCTGCAGAGACTCTGCTCAGCTGAGTTTCCAGCACGACCATAAGCTTCTCCTCCTCATTCTCTCAGCCCTAGCCTATGCTCTGTCCCCCAGCGTGCTCAACAAGTGATCTTACAGTCTCCCTAGTTGTTGCAGAAAATAACTAGACTGGGGGAGCCGATGGATACGGAGGCCCAGGTGTAGGGGCAGGACCAGAGGCAGTGCAGTGCCCACTAAGCCAGGAAGGGGAGGATCTGCACAGTGGGCATGGCTGCTGTAGGCATGGAAAGGAGACGCAGATGCCAGCACTCCCAGGGACCAATGTCGGGGTCTCCATATGTGGATATGTGCAGATGTGGGGGTGCTGAGGAGGGAGGAGGTGCAGGGAATTTCTCTTGTCTCTACTGACTCTGAGTTGGAGATGTCAGATGACGGAACCATGGCCCATTGTAAACTAACACAATGTCCCCACCCATAGGGTTAGAACCTCACCCCTGGATGCAGCTCTGAGGGGAGCATTCACATGGGGAGAGTGCAGGACACTGTGTCCGGAAGGGAGAAGGAGGTCACCAAAGAGGCTCTGGCCAGGTGGCTGCCTTCTGACACACCGGCCTCTCTGTAACACAGTGGGCCCCCACACACCCAGCCTGTCAAACTACAGCCCTCAAGAAGGCTTTGTCCAGATTAATGAGTGGCTCCCTCTCCCAGGAGGAGGCTGAAGTTTTGGGAGGGCAGCGGAGCTGTGTATGCTCTGCTCCCTCCCTCCACAGCCAGACAGGAAGGGAGGCTCACCCAGGCTGGGGTCTGCCAGGCAGCTGTCACTAGTGAGGGTGAAGGAGCAGGAGGCTCTGCCACACTTTCAGGCTCAGGCTGCCTGGCCAGATCTGATCTGTGGGCCCTGTAGGCTGGCGGAAGCCATCAGGAGGGGGAGGGGATGCAGCTGCCAGGCCCTACCCCTGCAAGTCGCGTTGTATTTCTAAAAGCTTGGGTATACAGTAAGTATTAGGCTGTGGGCTGCTGGGCCAGGAAGGAGTGTTTGTTTTTCAGGGTTTGTTTACCTATTGAATTGATGAGGGAAGGTTATATAGGTACAACCAGTTTAAAGATGGCAAGTTTGAGAGAGCAAGCAGGGATTTAGTGCTGGGGAAGGCAAGCAGGCTTGTGAAAGCAGCTCTGTTAGGGAGGCCAGAGTTCTGTGCCAATGTCCTCAGCATGTGCAGCAGCTGCTGTAAGAGTGTAGGACAAGGATTAAAGCACAGAACTTTCTGGATGATAGAAATGTTCTGTATCTTGAAAGGAGGGGAGGGGATTACATGGGTAATGCATTTGTGAAAACTCATCAGAACATACACTTCAGATCTAGGCATTTCACTGAATTTGAAGTTATACCACAAATTAAAAAGATTTTTTTTTTTTGAGACAAAGTATCACTATGTCACCAGGCTGGAGTGCAGTGGCGCGATCTTGGCTGACTGCAACCTCTGCCTTCCTGGTTCAAATGATTCTCCTGCGTAAGCCTCCAAGTAGTTGAGACTACAGGCATGTGCCACCACACCCTGATAATTTTTGTATTTTCTTAGAGACAGGGTTTCACCATGTTGGCCAGGATGGTCTCAATCTCTTGATCTGCCTGCCTCAGCCTCCCAAAGTGCTGGGATTACAGGCATGACACCACACCCAGCCAAAAACATTTATTAAAAGACAGATGGCGGTGCACAACTATTATCTCAGCAGTTTAGGAGACCAAGACAGGTAGGTCACCTAAGTCAGAAGCTCGAGATCACCCTAGCCAACATGGTGAAACTAAAAACACAAAAATTAGCCAGGCAGTGCCAACACACCTGTGATCCCAGCCCTGGGGACGGTGAGGCAGAAGAACTGCTTGAACCCAGCAGGCTGAGGTTACATTGAGCCCAGATCACACCACTGCACTAGAGCCTGGGCAACAGAGTGAGACTCTGTTAAAAATATTAATAAATAAATAAGACAGAAGGAGATTTTCAACTTTAAAGGCAGAGTAGCTTGTTATAGATTAGCCTCTTCACAAGAACAGTTAGAGAAACTGGACAAACAAAAAAACTGTGCCCCCAACCCCCACCAAAAACAATTGTTGGAAGGTAACTACAGACCTCAGCGAGGACTTGAGTGACCTGGCCTTGGAGGTGGCCCCGACAGTCTGCAGGCCTTTTCCCACATTTGGTTACTGGTAAACAGCATAGGGCCAAGAGGCTAAGAAACTGACTATGAAGGGATAGTTAAGAGGCTGGAAAGCCGAGCTGAACGTTTGGCACTCTCACAGGGCTGAAATGACATCATGAGAATTTGGGTCCCAGTAAGGAGTTGGGACCTTGGTTGGGACCCTGGAAGGGCCACCCCTAGGAGTCCAAAAGAATAAAAATTAGACCAGCTGTCACAAAACCTAAAACCTGCTTTGAACCAGCTTAGTCCCAAACTAGGTGAAGGTGATCTGCCCTTACTCCCATTGTGTGCCATAAAGTCAAAGTCAATACACTCTGGAGGCAGATACAAGTTTACTAGACATGCCATCAGGCAAGACTAAAGGAGAAAGACCACGAGATAAAAAAGACAATAGAAACATACATAGATATGAGGATCCTCAGGTAGAAACTTTAAAATAACTTTTATTAAAATAGTAAATTTGATATTAACTGTATTTTACCACTATATGGATATATATATTTTTTTTTTGAGACAGAGTCTCTCTCTGTCACCCTGGCTGGAGTGCAGTGGCATGATCTCGGCTCACTGCAATCTCTGCCTCCCAGGTCCACCATGTTAACAATGATGGTCTTCAACTCCTGATCCCAGGGGATTCACCGGCCTCGGCCCCTCAAAGTCCTGAGATTACAGGCATGAGTCACCACACCCAGCAAGTATTTTACAACAATTCTGCTCCTGCATTGTCTTCTCCTATTCCCACATCCTCTACTCCTCCCACATCTTCTCCTTCTCCCACACCATGTCCTTCTGCTCTCCCATCTGCTCCACTTGCTCCCACCTCCTTTCCTTCTCCCGTATCTCCTGCTCCCTCAGTTTCTTCTGTTCCCACATCATTGCCTCCTGATTCTCTATCTTCTCCTCCCACTCCCTCAGCCTCTTGTTCTCCTCCTGCATTTTCTTCTTCTGCTCCCTTAGCCGCTCCTTCTCATCCGACAGCCTCTTCTTTTCCTCCCTCATCTTCTCCTCCTGCTCCTGCATCTTTTCCTGCTCCCAACACCTCTTCTGCTCCCAAATGTTTTCCTCCTGCTCCTAAATCTTCTGTTTCTGTTCCCGAATCTTCTCCTCTTGCCTTTGCATTTTCTGTTCGTGCTCCCTCATCTTCTGCTCCTGATGCTGCATCTTCTGTTCATGCTCCCGAATCTTCTGCTCCAGATGCTGCATATTTTGTTCCTGCTCCTGCTCCTGCAATTTTCTTCCTGCTCCCATATTTTCTGCTCCTGCTGCTGCATCTTTTGTTCTTGCTCCCATATTTTCTGCTCCCACTCCTGCATCATCTTCTCTTGCTGCCTCATCTTCTGCTCCTGATCCCGTATCTTCTGCTCCCCCTCCTGTATCTGCTCCTCCCCCTTCCAGATCTTCTCCTCCTGCTCCTGGTAGAGGCGTTTCCAGCGATTATTTTCATCCACCTGTTCTTGGAGCTCTCCTTTCAGTCTGTGAAGCTCCTGCTTCAGGTTCTCGACCTCCTCCTGTAGCTGCTCCTGGAATAGTGAAAGTGTTGGTTTGAACCTCAAAAAGAAATAGACTCATGAGTTAGCCATAGAAATGTCATCTACAAAATAATGGCTTTCATCTACAATGCTTTAAAAAAATTTTTTCTCAGTCCTAACCCTGAGATTCTGATTCCCCAGGCAGGGCCACAATTTGTAGACTTTTAGCACACTCTAGAGGATTCTATGGCAGGACCAGCACCAGGACCCAGATTTTCCAGCTCTGGGCTGGAGCCTTTCCATACCCGGCATGATCCCTAGACCATGGCACCAGATGGATGGGGCTCCCACAACCCCCTGGGGCTGTAGCCTCTCACCTGTGGCAGCAGGAGCTTGGCCCTATTCAGCTTTCTTTGTAGCTCCTGGACATAGAGCTGGATGCTGAACTTCTCAGACTGCAGGAGTCTAAGTTGTTCTTCCAGTTTGGTGTTCTTCCTCTGCAGCTCCTCATTGATTATACTATGGCCAGAGGCAGTAGAGAAAGGCATGAGCGAAGAACAGAAAGGAACACTTTGGTGATCAACCCTCTGCCCTCACCCCACAACCACCACAGAACCGTGGCATTGAAAGGGACCCCAATAATTAAAAGTCACAGGTGGCAGGCCAGAGAGAAGACATGAGTTGCCCAAGGCTACCCCATGAGTCAGTGGCACAGCCAGCACTAGAGCTTTGCTGGGCACACATGCAAATCTCTATGACCCCCTCACCATGCTCCCCTGTGCCCCCCACCTCCCAGCACTCCACCCATGCTAAGGGCCCCCAGACCTCCCATCCGACCTTCCCCCATCCTATGTGTTCCTGTACAGTTCCAGGCTCAGGCCATCCCTCTTCTTTGTTAACTCCTCGTTGCACTGCAAATACAGAAAGGTTAAGTTAGGATACAGCAGACAGAGCAACGTGTTCCTGTACAGTTCCAGACTCAGGCCTTCCCTCTCCTTTGTCAACTCCTTGTTGTACTGCAAATACAGAAAGGTTAAGTCAGGATGCAGCAGACAGAGCAGCAGCTGGCCGACAGGAACAATGGCTGCAGTGACTACTTCACAGCAACACTTCCTCGCTCTCAGTCACACCTGGTATGTTCCCAAGGCATGCCCATGGTCTCCTTTGTTTTTCTTTTCTTTTTTGAGATGGAATTCGCTCTTGTTGCCCAGGCTGGAGGACAAGGGCGTGATCTCGGTTCACCACAACCTCCACCTCCCAGGTTCAAGTGATTCTTCTGCCTCAGCCTCCTGAGTACCTGGGACTGCTGCCATGCACCATCATGCCTGGCTAACTTTGTATTTTTAGTAAAGAAAGGGTTTCTCCATGTTGTTTAGGCTGGTCTCGAACTCCCAACCTCAGGTGATCTGCCCAGCACAGTCTCCCAAAGTGCTGGGATTACAGGTGTGAGCCAACGAGCCTGGGGCCCTCATTTGTTTTTCAAAGAACTCAGTAAGTGGGGAAGGGACAGGGAAAGAGATTGAATTTATAGCTGGCTAAGGAGCCGAGAGAGATCAGATAATATTGCTATTTTTATGACTGTTATTACTACCACTATTAGAATCTTCATTGAGTGCTTTACCAGGCACTGTGCTAACAATCCCATTTAATCCTCACAACCACCAGGAGATGGTTACTATTATTACCTCTATCTTGCAGATGAAAAACATAAGGTATTAAAGGTTAAGTGCTTGCCTAACATCACTGAGATAGAGCTGGAATTTCAACCCCCAGGTATCTCTGATTCTCTAAACCCATTCTTTCCTGGGGGTGGGGGCACAGATAAGAACAAGGAAATTAACCTTTCGTTGGCTTTTTGAAAGGACGATAGGCTGGCATAGTCCAAAACTCAGAAGGTATAAGAGAGAAATACCTCTCATTTACACTGTTCCTCTCTCCTGAGTTTTTAATGAATTCTTACATGTTTTATGTATGTTACCATAATACACACACACACACACACACACACACAAACACGTGTTCCCTCTCTCTACACAAGTGGTAACATACTAAAGATACTCTTCCGTACCTTCATGGTACGAGTACCCTAATCCCTACCCAGGACTTGGCCAAGGCCACAGCCAGGTAAGAGCACTTGGCCTTCGATCTCTGTGTCCTGTGCTCACTCCCTACAGCACCCGCAACTCACCCACAGCAGCTGGCTCAGCCCCAGCCTGCCTCTAACAATCACACACAGAAGCACCAAGAAATGGCCCATGCTGCCTCCTGGGAAGGACACTCCATCCTGCAGAAGGAACCTTTACCATCACTCCTCCATCTGGGAAGCCAGATTGCCATGGGATGGGGCAGGTGGTTGGACTCACCCTGTCCACCACCTTTTTCCATGTGGAGACATCAGACAAAGCCTGCTTCAAGTCCTCCACGTGTTGGGAGGCATGTTGCAGGCAGCCGAAGAGGTATCTGCAGTCTCCTGGAAGAAGAGAGGTTGAGATGAAGCCCAAGGGACTCCCCCTAAAAGCCTGTCAAAGTGCCAGGTTGAAATGATGATGACGGGGTGCCCAGATTCCCACCTTCTAGCTGCCTGGCTGCATTCTCGCTGAAGTATAGGGCTCTCTCCAGGGCACCGATGGTGTGAGCCTGAGCCTGTGGGAGAAAAGCCAAGCATGTGCTGAAAGAGAAGCAAAGAACCTTCTCCAGAGGACAGGAGGGAACTCCACACCCTCCACTCACCTCTACCTGCCTCCTGAGCACTGCCTGATGGTGATGGCTTGGCCTATTTTCCTATAGGAAGAGGAAGACAGAGCTCTTACTAGGGGGTGGCAGAGATGGCACAGCAAGACATGCCCCCCAGGACATTGGAATGCCACCAATGTCCCAGGACAGGACCACCCATGGGACCAGGTTATCGGGGACCCTGTGGGATGGGATGGAATATGGGAGGTGAGCCTTCTTCCCCCAGATGGGAGTGGGGAAGACAAGACTGGGGCCTCTACATCTCAGTGCTCCCCCAAACCCAGCAGTCATGTCAAGGGCAAACCAATAAATCACATTATTTCATCCAGCTGAGCTCGGTTCTGTTGTTTCTATGGGGAGAGTCAAAGGAAGGTGACTGAGGGTGGCCCACTTGACTCTATTCCCCAGGCCAGGAAGCTGTAGACCAGGGCCAGGAATGGAGTTTAGAGTCAAAGTTCTCAGACCCAATGGGAACATAAACTAGTAAACTCTCCTCAAGCTCCCAAAGAAAGAGGTTTTGGGTCTTTGTTGGCTTTCACCCACAGCCACAGAACTGAAAGTCTGAAACTAGATTCTCTCCAAGGGACAGTAACATCAATCTTCAGAGATAAAGTGTGAGAAAAGCCCAACCTTCTGCCAGCTTGTGATTTACAAAGGTGCATTCATTCAACAAATATTGAGCATATACGGGCCAGCTGCTGTTCTTTACAGTGGCGGTATAGGACAGAAAAGGCAGACAGGAACCCTTGGCCCCAAGGTTTCCACTCTTCTTGGCCTTGAAATCCCGGACTCCCAGAGCTAACAGAAACCTGTGATACTCTTTTTTTTTTTTTTTTTTTTAAAGATGGGGTTTCACCATGTTGGTCAGGCTGGTCTTGAACTCCTGACCTCAGGTAATCCACCCGCCTTGGCCTCCAAAGTGCATGGATTACAGGCGTGAGCCACCACACCCGGCCAGAAACCTATGATACTCTCTAACTCCACCTCCTCGGGAAACACAAGCCCAAGGAGGAGAGGTGTTCACAACAGGCCCTGTACTAGGGATCAACATAAAAACTACAAGAGCAAATCTCATTGAAATGTCACAAATGTAAGTAAAACAATACCACCCCTATTTTACAGATGTGAAAACAGGCCCATAGAGCTCAAGCAATTAGCCCTAAATCATACCCTTAGCAGATGGAGAGAGAGCATTCAAACCCAGGATTCTTAACCAATACCCGGCAATTCTTCCACAATCTTAACAGTTACCCTCTACTGTCCCCTGGGCCCTCTGACCCCAGAAGCCTGGCCAGCCAAGACTCACATCCTCAGGTGAGTGGCAGCCAGCAGAAGTGGTTGTCTCAGGGTTGCTGCCATTATTTATTTCCCTTTTGGTGTCGGTTGCTCCTGTACTAACACCAGGGCTGTTGTGCTGATGATATTCTCTCAGCTGTGAAAACAAGAGCAGTGATACTTATGAGAACTACAAGCCCCTACAGTCACATCCTACTTTACAGGTTTCTTTTTCTTCTTTGTTGTTGTTTTGAGATGGAGTCTCACTCTCTTACAAGGCTGGAGTGCAGCGATGCAATCTCGGCTCACTGCAATCCTTCAAGTGATTCTGCTGCCTCAGCCTCCTGAGTAGCTGGGACTACAGGCACATGACACCATGCCCAGCTAATTTTTGTATTTTTTGTAGATAAGGGGGTTTCATCGTGTTGGCCAGATTGCTTACAATCTCTTGACCTCATGATCTGCCCGCCTCGGCTTCCCAAATTGGTGGCATTACAGGCATGGGCCACCATGCCCAGTCCCTACTACACAGGCTTTACAAAATACTCTTGTGTTTTTGTAATTTTTGCATGGTGGTGCAATCTCAGCTCACTGCAACCTTCACCCCCAGGGTTCAAGCCTCCTGAGTAGCTGGAACTATAGGCGTGTGCCTGTAATTTTTGTGTTACCACCAGGCCTTGCTAATTTTTGTGTTTTTTAATAGACAAGGGGGTTTTATCATGTTGGCCAGGATGGTCTCGATCTTTTGACCTCATGATCCACCTGCCTGGGCCTCCCAAAGTGCTGGGATTACAGGTGTGACCCACCACGCCCGGCCCCTACTTCACAGGTTTTACAAAATACTCTATAAGAGCATCGAATTTAATGCCACCAACAACTGTACGAGGTGTTGTCTCAATCAGTGACTGAGAGGGACTGATGCCGTGGCTAAAACCAAGGCAATAATGGAATTCAAACTCAGTCTCTGACTCCGACCTCTGGGATTTTGCCACAAATCAGCAGCTGCCAAGGACCAAAACCAGAGGCAGTGATAGAAAAGTCAGTATGAAGTAGGCAGGAACTGTACACTGTGTGGTTTAGAGTCATACATCCTCACACATCTGTTAGTGTTAAGAAGGGCACCGGTACCTTTCCAACATTTACATCAGTGTATCCTCATGGCAGAAGGCAGCCTTTCTGTTAAATCTGAGAATTTAACGGGAAGAGGACAACCCAAGCCTCATTTCAGAGAGAAGTCTTGTATACTCTTAGAAATCTATGTGACTGTCATCCCTAAGTCCACTAATGTTTTGTCTCTCTCAAGAGAATCAAGGGACACTGATGCTTCAGAAAGATGCCCCATATTTACCCTGTGGCACTAAAATTACCCCAGGTTGAGATGAGATAAGGAAGATTCAAGCTGTCAAGTTCAGATTCCCAAGATCTGTTCCACAGAAGAGAAGCAGATCTCACTCCAGAAACCACTGACTGAAGGGCACTCTGGTCCCAGAACCATGGAGAATTCAAATATGAGGTGGAGAACTCAGAAAAAATGTTAAAGTCTCTCTGGAGAATAGAAGCCTGGGAGAAAACAAAACCAAACCAAACCCATTCTCCCATCACCACTTAGAGACATTGTCAACGTTTTGCGCTCACGGGGGAGGTGCAGGCTTTTCACACTGTCAAAGTCTGTGTAAAGGGAGTGAGGCAGCCTGAAACCTCTCACTTCTAGGTCCCACAGTCCCCATTTCTCTTCCAGCTGAAAATCT